TCTCACACCCTGCCATCGATGAGGACTTCGACCAGGTCATTATGGAAATTTGGGCCAGAGGATTCTATACCGCAGATGGACGCAGAGCTGGTCCAGCCGAGGCTTTTTCCTTTGCTGCATTCCTGAGGGTACCGGTCTCCACTATCAAGCCGATCCTGGCTCGCCGGCCAAAAGGGATGTTCTTTGAACCTCGACTTGAGTCTCGACAAGGCCCTGACCCTGCCTACAAGATTATCTGGCTTCCAGGGCAAGACTTCAACGCCGCGCAGCACCACTTCAAGACCCTGCCGAAAGCAATCTCAGTTGCCAGGCTGAAGCAACGCTTTGGTATCCGAGTGCTTGCAAAAGATGAGGAGATGGCATACACGCACCTCCGTCCGGACTCCACCTTCTCGGACATCATTCACTCGCGCACTTTTCAGCTTTTCCCACTTCCTCACGGCACACAGAAATCTGCGATCGTTTCTATTCTGGAACAATGGCAATGGAAAGCTCGCCCTATTCAACCTGGACGCGGCAATTCAACGGCCATGATGTGGATTGTTGGTACCTCGGACGACCCCCCGGCGCAGTTGCTGCCCGGGCTCACAGGCGACATCCTCATCACGGAGGTCACGCAACAAAACCGGGCCCAACGACCATGCACTGCGATTGCCTCCCGCAAGACTCAGAACCACATCCGCAAAGGACATGGAGACGATGTGGCAGCTACCAGCTCCGATCGCTCCGATCCATGGCTTGATCCTCGCAAGGACCCTTGGGGCAGTACAAAGAAGCCAGCAGCCTCCAGCTCATCGGCACCACCCACTGCATGGCACCAATAGGTACGAAGAAATAGCACAGGAACTTCGCACCGAATTGCAGAAAGAAGTGCAGGCCCTGGCATCATCCCACACCAACCCATCCAACTCAGCCGCGGACAATCTCACCGAGCAGAGGTTCCAGCCCAGTACTTCAATCAGCTTGGAGCCCAACAGCAAACCATGGAAGCTGCTATCACACAGGTACAGCAGAAGGTGCATCAGAAATCCGGGTGGTCTTCGAGGCAAAGAACCATTATTCATATCCTTGGGACCTGGGGTACATGCCATTTCAGAAACACACGTCAGCTCTGCCCAAAAACACGCTTCGGAGTTTGGCCGTGAAGGAGGGACGACTCGTTCGCCCTGTCCGGGGGCATCCTGCAGCCCTACGTCAAAATTCTTCATGGGCTGGTACTTGGACAGGAGTTGCCACCTTTGGAGACTTTGCCTGTCACCCGATCGACCTTTGGTGGCCGGCTGACATCTGGGAGTCTAGCCGCATTCAGGTTTCTACTCACATCGTTGGCAACCACAACGTTCTCATTGCCAACGTCTACGGCTACCCCAGAGGACCCACTTGGCCGAGAGCCTCTTCGCTCACCGGCGACATCTTGAAGCACCTTACTTCGCACTTGGTGATCGGGTATGATGGCGCCCGCATCCAAAGTCTGTGGCGTGGATTGTGACCTCGCGCCCATCCGCAATGCGTCGCCCTTTGCAAATACCGTGCTGGTCGGTCGGCTCGATGTCGAAGACCCCAAATGCCAGCTCACCATCTCGTAATGGGAGGGCTGCAAAAATTGATGAATCCATTGCAGGTCAAAGGGTCTCCCGATCTTCAGCTGGACAGTTCTACCCCTGGTAGGCTCGGGCCGAGAACTACACTGCCAAGTATAAAAGTACGGCGTTGTATGCATTGAATTTCCCCAGTATAAAGTACAAAGTCAAATTCTCAAAAGCATGGTTTTGCTTCAGGCAGTTCTCCTTTTTTACCTTTCAGGTCCAACTTTCAAGGCCACATATATAAACAATGGACAGGCATTCAACACTGCCTCTGACACCCATTCAGCGAGAAACATGCACTACCTCTGAGTCCTCCTGCCCTGACTTGCCCTCCACGTAGTGACCAAATCATGCAGTAGCATCTTTGGGACAGGGCGTCGGAGGGGGCAGGGCGGTGGGTAGCAGTCCTCTGAGACCAGAAACCTTCCTCGTTGAATTCGGGAGCTGAAAATGCAACGCTTGTCTTGCGGCCTCCGGTGGATCTTGGACATCCAACCAATTTTCCTCCCTTTTCCTGCCTCCCCGCCACATGCCGGATTTTCGAAAATGCACTGAATTCTGCAAAAAGATCTGCAAGTTCCACGGGTCCTGCAAAACCAGTCCTCGCGGATTCCTTTCCAAAACTTGACGAAATCTCACATGCTGAAGCGGGGGCGAGATTGCACCGTTTTCATGACATAGCCCTTTCCCCTGCTGGTGCACCAGTCTAGCAATGTGGAATACTGTCCATGTTTCTGGGCTTGTTTGATCACTACTTGCACTGTTAGGGGTGGCGCTTCGTCAAATTCACATTGCAGCATCAGCTTTTTGCTGACCATTTTCATCGCTCCTACTCCAAGAGTCCTAATCTCATTAAGGGATCTGTAACGGCGAAAGAATCACAGCAACGATCATCCACGATTTTGTGAACCATGGGCACCTCCTCAGAATATGCTCCATGAGCACGGACACAAAACATCAGACGATATGACCAGGAAATTGACATACACACACAGCCACCTAATGTGATTCCAGCACTGGATGAGGGAGGTCCATCAAGTCATGCAAATATGGAACCCAAAGCAATCTATCCAAAGCGGTGTCTTGCTTTCCAGCCTACAGCTCAACAGTTCGGCAATATCCTTAGCGTGTTGAGAGTTGTTTGGGATTTCGTGTCACTTTGCCCCCAGACCCCAGCGTTTCCTGAGCACGAAGAACTGGCATTGCGAGGCAGCCGGCCATTTTGTGAGCATGAATCGGGCAATGTCTGGGACAATGTCTCAAACAAGAGCAACTCATCTTTGCCCTGTTCCAGTTGAGGAAAAAGGTCATCATGTTGAGATACTCGAGATTTGAGCCAAAAGGCGCATCAAAGGCAACATGTCGTCACTGGCTCTGGCCAAGAGAAAAACTGGCCACGGGTCTGAGAGCCGCAATATCTGTTATGAAATCTATCTAATCTACGAAACACAAGCCTATTGTGTCATCTATAAAATTCTAAAAATACTACATCTAATTTGTGTTGTTTCCCAACTTTATACAAATATTACACCTATGAATAAATAACTATATCTAATAAACAAACATGCTACACTTGCCATAAATTCGACCCGAAGCTTACAACAAAGACACACCCATCATTGAATCATACAAACTAACATTTCAAATTATACATGTTCATACCTATGACACTAACTTTCAAACATACAAAGTAGTCAAAACACATCAAACAGCTTCTATCTCGCCATCACATATTTAATTGAGTTTAGAGTACATACTAATTGCTATCTCATCTTTGATTATCACACAGTTAGCTTTCAACTAATATCCATATCACAAAAAGCTCTTTTTGGTAAACACATTTCATTCAAATTCAATCAATTACTTCAATTACCGTATCTAATCCAATTCAACCTGTATGCAAACACAACAAATACCAAACAACAAGCAGATAATATCAACCACAACAACAACAACTGCCACACAACATATATTCAAAGTTCCGTGGTATGACAACTCATTGACAGCGCTCTCTGATAGAAGGCAAGAGAATAATAAGTCTGTTTGAACAAATGCGTGAGCGTATAATGGGGGATAATAATTATCTACAAATGCAAACCTCAGCGGGTGTCGTTAAACAAATTTCAACAGTTAGCCTGATCGCGATTCCTAATCGAAACAAGAAGCGAGCTTGCAGCACTCTAGCTGGATACATAGAGATAGAAAGATAGATCGATAGATAGATAGATAGATAGATAGACGGATAGACGGATAGACGGAAAGACGGATAGACGGATAGATAGATAGATAGATAGATAGATAGATAGATAGATAGATAGCTAGCTAAATAGATAGATAGATAGATAGATAGATTAGATAGATACATAGATAGATAGATAGATCGATAGATAGATAGATAGATAGATAGATAGATAGATAGATAGATAGATAGCTCAATAGATAGATAGATCGATCGATAGATAGATGGATGGATAGATAGTTAGATGGATAGATATATAGACAGAGATATAGACAAATAGATACCATAATATATTATAAACAACACAACATATGATAAATGAGACAGATAAGAAAGGCATAGATAAGTTCGATATAAAATACAATATAGATGAGATAGATAAGACAGATAAGCTAAGATAAGACAAATACGATCAATAAAATAGAAAGAGAGAAAACACTAGATAGTTGGGATAGATACGATAGTTAAGGTAGCAAAATACACACATGGATGGACAAATAGATGGATAACCAGACAAATAGTTTGATAGACCTACAGCCTCAGATTGGGTAGATAGATGTATGGGTGGGTGGGTGCATGAGTGGGTGGACCTGCATTGTCGGATTGGGTAGACAAATAGATAGACAAACAGATAGATAGCTATATAGATACATCGATAGATACATAGATCTATGGATAAAGGTAGATAGATAGACATGCATATAGATAGACAGATATAAAGTGAACACAGGGGAAACTACAAAGGGATATTAAGTAGATAAGAGATAGAATAGGAGGTGAGAACAAACATACAACAAGTAGAAAGAACGCTTAGATCGACAGATGGGTTAGATAGATAGATAGATAGATGGATAGATAGATAGCTAGATAGATAGAACAAAATAGATAGGTAGAAAACAACACTACATAGATGTAAGTAGATAGAAAAAAAAGATGAGATGCGCGTGCGCCCCGCCCACCCGCCCGTGCGCCCCGCGTAACTTGCCAACCGGGATGCTAGAAAAACAGAGAAGGACATACAGAATCCCACCGGCTTCGCTGGCTCTACTGGTATCGATATATTCATTACCCTGACAACAATACAAATGTCATACAAAGAAATAAGTGCACATTTGCACACCCACACACTCATATCTACATGTGTATACAGCATATTCAAACGGTCACATTTGTTT